GTACATTCAGTATAGACCTGAACGTATTTGACCGGAAACGGAGTATTTCAATGTTGAAATTTGGGGCTGTCCCCCGCAACTGAACGCCGTAAGTCCAAATGGGTTTGAGCACTGCTACATAATAGTAGTGTACTTTCGATTGGTAATGTTGATCTTCTGCTGAGTTTGTTTTTTCTCTCTTTATCTTAGGTTGAGCTGTTTTATTTTGGTTTTGATGCACTTCGCTCATGTCAGCATTCTATCAAGATCGATCAAGGTGCATCCCAGCTATTTCACTTATCTCTCTCTCTTTTTGCTAGAGCAACATTGCCCATATGCACTGTCGGACAGGTTTGATTACGCAGGGTGAATTAAATATGCGTGGATTTGTTTTAATTTACTTCAATACTCGATTTCTTTGCTCATTCCTTAATCCTACTGATGTTGTCTTGCCGTTTCACTGAAGCTATAGCTGGTTCATCTGCTGTTAATATTGCTGTATCATCAGCTAAGTTAGCAGCTGGTGTGTTTTCTGATGCCGATAGGTTAGTCGTGTACATAGATGTAGGGAGGTCCTAAGACCCTTCCTTGCGGTACCCCTGCTTCAGTCGTTCTTAAATTTGTGTTTTCATCTTATCGTTTCACTTGAAATCGTCTTTCGTTTAAATATGATTCGAAAGTTCTGTGGTTAGCATGGGGAAGTGTTTTTCTAATTTTAAAGAATATCACTTGATGCCATACTTTCTCAGACGGTTATATGATATTTGGGGACGCCATAGAGGAGTACTGTTTTTTCTAAGGTTCCTCTTATTGTCTCTGTAATTTCGTGTACGTGTTTCGTTGGCGGGGTGTTGCTGTCGAAATTCAGACTGGTGGTACGGTATGATTCTTTTTTCGTCTAGTATTGGGGGTAAGCTGTTAACATAGCTTTTCGAAGATTTTGCTCGCCTTTGGCATTAAGCTGATCGGTCTATATGAGCTGACTTCCTCTAGCGATTTGCCGGATTTTGGAATCATCATTATCTGCGCAACATTCCATTTAGCTGAGAAGTGTCCATTTCTGATAACTGAATTGCATAAGGATATTAGGTGGGAAATGCCTTTTCTTCATAATTGTTCAATATTCTCCCTATAATCAGGTTACATCATAGAGCTTTCCTTGCGTTAAGATCTTATATCATTTTTTGGATTTCCTTAGGTGTATAGAATTTGATTATTTTTTATATTTATAGCGGTTCTTCCAGTGTTTTGTTGATTTCTTTTTCTAATTCTTCATTATGTAACATTTCGTTAGGTGTGAGTGCCTATTTTTGTGTGCTGCAAAATTGTTCACTTATTCCTTATCACTTCGAGCTGAAGTGTGGTCCGTTTTTCTGATTCGTGGGTTTGCGTTGTGTTGGCTGTTTTAATCTTTTGACTTCTTTCCACGTGAATAATCAGTTAAGTTTCGGAGAAGTCTAAAATGTTCCTTATTTCATTCTTTTTACTTGGTCTTTGAATTTTATAGTGGCTTCCTTGTATCTGCGTATATCTACGGGATGTATACTCACCTACCATCTTCATCTAAGGTTTCTTTTCTCCTTGATTTGTTCCTTTACTTATTAATATTCAGGATCTTTAGTTTGAGGTTTGTCTTCTGGTGTTGCGCTCCAAACTGCATTTTGCAATACGTTAGTGAAATTTTCAGTAGCTTCTTCTATTTCTTCCGCTGCTTTTAGCGGGATGTTTAGTCGTAAACTTTCTTCGATTTGGTTTTCCGAATACTTCTAAGTTTGTATTTCTGTTGTGCAGTTTTGCTGCTTCTTACCAGGTGTTCTAATAGTCGCGTTTATTGGTGTATTTTTTTGTGTGTTGCTTGTTGATATGTTTGGAGTTCCAGCACTATTTCCGGTCGCTTGGGCATATGTCATTTCCGATCTCCTTTCGGCTTTCTGTGGTACGGTAAGGTTTTCGTACTCTTGTCTCGGTATATTTGTAAGGTGCTTCAGGTCGAGGTTATGCACATCTGTAGCTACCGCATGTAATTCCCCGCATTGTAGATATTTTTGCTGGTTGTGTCCTAGGTGTTGTACCTTCCTCGAAACTATGTGATTTGCCACATTTCACTCATCTTGGCCTCTGTTCGCAGTACCCCTTGGTAAGGAAGTACGCTTGACACCTCTTGCTTTACGGAATGCTATTTTTCTTTTGGTAAAGAGGTTCAATTTGGACTCTCATGTTTTATAGGTATTCGACGTGGTATATTTCATTGTTGCCGGCTGGTTATGTATCTAAGAAAAAGTGACAATGGTTTTCAAGTGAATCTGCCACTAACTCCTGCTGCACAGAGTGGTGTACATTTTTTATTACCACTCCATAAGCACGTTGTTGCCGAGGTGGTTGTGTGTGGAATTGAATTTTTTTTTTCGTTTAATATGTCTAGTATTGTTTTTGATAATCCAGTTTGGTTGCCATTATCTTTATTTTATCATTGTTTATTATTTTCAAAGTGTAGTTTAGTCTGTTAACTACTTATTCAATTGTAGTAGCTGTTACTGGCTGCATGTTTGTGATTCTTGGGACAAACATTAATGGTGCTGCTGGATTTTTTCTTTTGCCCTCTGTTTCTACGGTCACAGAGGTTGGTAGCTGAGCTGGGTTTTTGCTCGTTTCTCGTGACTTGTTTTTCATTGTTGGTGCTTTTGTGATCTTGATACTTGTTCTTTTCTTTCCCTTTCTTGTAATTCTTGCCAGAGCAGTTGATGTCATTGTAGTCACTTTTATTGCTTCTGTTTCTGATAAGTATGCTAGCTCTACTTGTTGTTGCTTTATGCGATATACTGTGTTAATTCGGTTGTTGTATTATGGGTGGTTGCTGCGTATATGAAGCTTGTTGTGGTATCTGTTGCACGTATGAAGCTTAGTACGGTATTAACGTGAACATATGCTTTATCACATTGCCATTTTCTGACTGTAATCTTGCATCACAGTCTTGCACTGATGACTGAGTCATCACTGGGCCATGCATCCGTGCTGACGTACCTGTATCATTAGAGCAGGGTTCATGTCGTTCGATTGCGGTGTTATTTGGCCATGTAAATTTTCCATTAGTCAAGATCATAGTGCTTTGCATTTGTTTGTGTAAGCGAATGTTACTCACACGAAGTTGTTGTTGATGATCTGTTGTTTATCTAGTTACATGTGTCTTATTATATACGTTAAATGGAATTGTACACGTAAGTCTGTTCCCATGATTCACTGTTTGTTTTGTGAATGTTGCCGAACTCGCGAACAGAGCGTATATGAACTTCAAACGTCAAACCGATGCTGTAACAAACAACACAAAAACAGGTGTTATGGTTGTTGCGCATGAGTTGTCGCTTTCACCATACAAACACAGCTTGTGGCGATGCACACCGATAGGTGTCCGAACCAGTACCAGATATACATGAATGAAAAATGCAAAGACCAGATAATTCAATTCAATGGACTGATGAAAACTTCCAACGACTGTAGACTTCCACATCATTGATTTTAGGTTTCTGCTGTTTGGCGGGTTATTTGATTGAAATTTACTGCAACAGCTTGAATTTTTGTAGCTGAATAATTTACATTGTCAGTTTACGGAAAATAAAATCATCTCCCGTTTTTCGATATTTCCTTCATGTCGTCCATTTTTCCCTTGTAATCTTGAAATGTAACACTGTTTACCTGATATAAGGTTTTGTGACGAATATCTTTATACATGAATAAATGCAGTGAGCCGGGATAGTGCAGTCAGTATTGCGACTGGCTACAGGCTGAACAACTGAGAGGTCGGAGTTCCAGTTCCCATAGGGTCCTCCTATACAATGGGTACTGGGGGCTCCCCCTCCTGGGGGGGTGGGGTACAGCTGCCAGGGTGTGAAGCTGACCACTCACTTCCAACTAATGAAGAGGTCAAGAAAATGTTGATCTATATATCTACTACCCCATACATCTTCATGGCATAATGCTTAATTAGTTAAGCACAGGGATAACTTTACCTTTGTAAGATTAGAGGCTTTCACGGCGGTGACTATGAAGAAAGCAGCCTTCTGGGATTTGGCACCGTGTATATGTGGTGTTAACCGACGTTTCGGAGGAACGTATCGCCTCCATCTTCAGGGTAGAACAAAAAATATAAGAAATCTGCAAACGAAGAGACCGTGAGAACCGGGTTTTCACGGTCTCTTCGCTTGCAGATTTCTTATATTTTTTGTTCTACCCGTGAAAACCCGGTTCTCACGGTCTCTTCGCTTGCAGATTTCTTATATTTTTTGTTCTACCCGTGAAAACCCGGTTCTCACGGTCTCTTCGTTTGCAGATTTCTTATATTTTTTGTTCTACCCTGAAGATGGAGGCGATACGTTCCTCCGAAACGTCGGTTAACACCACATATACACAGTGCCGAATCCTAGAAGGCTGCTTTCTTCAACTTTACCTTTACCTGTGAATTAATGCAACACAGAATAATGTATCATAAACATTTCTCATGTTAATCAGAAATGTTACACATAAGATAGCCAGTATTTGAGTGTGCAGTGAGCCATTTATGAAATAAATTATAAAATATCTGAACTTACAGAATACTCTGTTACAAATTTTCAGTACTCTTGAGAATATCATACCCTATTAGCAGCAAGGACCCTCCAATTGCTTTGTAGGATGTTTTCCCTGAATGATGTGTAAATACAATGTCTTTAGATTCACAGAATAATTGTAATCATAGAATTAAATAAATACAGGGCAATACATTTTGGTTCAAGTTACAGACACTTTTCTAGAAATAGCTTTTCAGTTTCTACACTTCCAGCTGAAAGATTTTAAGAGATCTTAAAAAATAAATAAAGCAGTTTTATCATATCTGAAGCTGAACTTTAATTATAAATTGAGCAGAATGGCAATGAGGACATACTTTTGTAGAAAACAGAACTAATAGATACTAAGTATGCTTGTAGATTATTTAAGTTGAATATTTTTTAATTTCTTCATAGGCAAATAAATATCTATTCCTTTTTCAGTGTGAAAAAAAGTAGTCGCTGTGACCAGTCACATGTAAATTATGTCCTGTGAATTTCAAACTTCGCAGAGCAACACAAGGATGGCAGTGCATCATGGACATGACATAATGCTTCAAGATGGAAATATGAAACTCCTTTTTAATTTAGTGAATAGTAAGATGTCTCAATGGAACATTTATATTGCTATTGTTATTGCAATATCATGATTGCTGCTGTTTGATGTCTGAACAAAGTAACCTGTAAAGCGAGAAACAGTGCCTGAAGATATTACTTATATAGGGTAGACATGTATGCTTGTTTCAGAACACATTTTGTTTCCACATTCCAATAGAATTAAATATATATGTTTTGATAAGCATTTTTGACAAATGAGTGCATGTAGAAACAGAGTGTTTTGGAAGCATACGTATTTAATGTGCTTGAAATAAGCTCAACCAATGGCTGCATACATCATGAAGTAAACACAGACTAATAAGGTTGCAGCTCTTGTTGCCTGTGTTATTCTTTTTGGATTAGTTTGTGTATATATGTTCCATGGTTTTTAAAGTATTTTTATATCATATTTATGTTTTTGTTGGTGGCTTCTTCAGAAGCCACCAACATCCATGGATGTGAAGTGAATAAATAAATAAATAAATAAATAAAAGGGCTCAGCTCCATGAGTGAGTCAGCGAGAGTGAACTGAGTGAATTCCTCTTCCAGGATTCTCTCTTCTGTAATTGTCTTGATTTATGTTATTGTTCTTCTTTCATTTTATCTAGTATGTGTTGTTCTAACTTATCAAAATTGCAATTGTAAAATCAATTTAACAGTTATTTAAGTATCAGTGTAAGGTTGAAAAGTATTCCATTGAAACACAGAAATGTTAAGAAAATATTATTGTTGCATAGATTGTATGTATGTATATCCAGTTTTGATATCTGTTATGGACAGTGTTGCCAGAATTCCACAGGCAAATATCTCTGTGGCCAATGAGTGAAGTATACATGCCCATTTGAATAATCAGTGCATTGGCAAAGAACAAACATGAATATATTCTCTTCAAGGAATGCATCCTGTTGTGTTACCCTATACTTCATTATTATTTTCCGTCTCAACACAACAACTATCAAAGTCACATTCATATTTAATGCATGAAATGAGTTTATTCATTTTAATACTATGACAGTGTGCTATATGTTTTGGCTTAGAAAGCCATCATCAGGCAGATACACTAACAATTTTTTTTGTTGACTCTTCTCAACACCTGATTCAAGTGCTTTCCATCATCAAAATCTATTGGATCACTTCCTTCAATCCAGGCGAGCCCAAAATGTGTGATTATGTTTTGTCCCTTGAAGTACCTTTCCTTCATCCCTTCACTGCAGTTAGAAAAGTTTACCTGCAGAAGGTCATTAGGATCAGAGGTCTGTTCCAACACTTGCATTGCGAAAAACTCTGTATGCCATGTTTGTCTAACCACAGCCTCTTCCTGCATCAGTGCCTCAGTTACAGTTGTCAGAGTGAGGTATTCTTTCAATGACTGACCATGGTGGGAGTATATGAAGTATTGGATAACACAACAGGATGCATTCCTTGAAGATTATAAATACTAGTCATGCAAGTAGCATATATAAGTACATGAACACAAAGCTTAAACTACTGAATTGCATTTCATTTTATTGAATTTGAATATAGTCAGCTATGTTAGTAATAGTTATTATATTGTCATATGTAGTGGGGTATGCGTGACGAAAATAATGGGTTGTAGTTCAGATGATTGGATTTATTAGTACTTCAATTACACTCTCTCTCTTAATTATAATTAATACAATACTATCGGTGATTTACACAATTTACAGTTCCCTGTTGCATTCTCCATCTTCACTATTCATCTCCTGGCAATGGCTCTCAACACAGAAACTAATGCTTCAAATCACTATGAGGTCTTCTTGTTATTTCGTCTTCAGTCACTATGTACTCCTCTGTCCTAGTCTGTACTCAATTTTCACAGTTCTCGAAAGACATGCTCTATTCTCGTCCTTGTACTCTCAGCTGCTGAACCCTCCTGGACTCTTCTCTGTGATGGCTTCATGTCCTTGACTCACAGCTTCGCAGCTATGACTGACTGCAGACGACCTTCACTGTGCTCTATATACCTTCGGTGTGGACCCCATAGAAACACCTATTATTGTAGCTGTGTTTACAGTTCTGTTGCTTAGCACTGGCCATGGCGTGGACCATGTTGAAAACAAATCACATGATAGCAATCGCTCCAGTCCATTAGCGTGCTGATTGTTGCATAGCAACAAACTATAAACATTTGTCCTATTGCGTGACCTAGCAAAGGACTGTTTACCATTAATCTGTCTTCGGGGGAACTTGTTTATCAACCTGTTGCCTAGCAATGGGTGTACATGTAACAGTATTGTAATATATGAATTCATATAAAGCGCAGTTCAGTATTTTGAAAATGTTTGTTAATATGTACTGCCTGATAATGGCTTTATAAGCTGAATCATGTAGCATATTGTCATACTATTAAAACTAACAAATTTATTATACACAGAAAATGTGATTGAGATTTTGATAGTTGTTTTGTTGAGACAGAAAACAATAACAGAGTATGAATATATTCTATTAATTCCTTAAATATATACTCCATTTTATATATATCACCGCACAGTGCTTGTCTGATCTTGTGTGGAACAGTTAGTAGGGTGGTTAGTGTCATGAGGTCATGGATACAGGTAATTTATTTTTATCAGGAAAGTTCAGATTCTAGTAACTGAGACTGAGGAGTTTTGTATTATCACTCCAGACATTAGAGCCACATTAACATGATAAAGAAATCAAACAATAGCTACACTGACCAATGGATAGAATACTTGCCAGTAAACTTCATACACATGTTATATTTTAGCGTCCTGTTGCACTGATTTAAGTCCATGATTTATTTAATCCGTCTTGCAGTGCATACACTCATTTATCTCCTTCTCTCCCTCGCACTACATGTTTCGGCATAATAATGCCATCTTCAGGTGCTTACTTATCCACGTCAAACCAGTTCATTGCATGCCATGTTNTACCCAGGAAGCCCAACAGTATAACACACGCAGTCGCAGGAGCACGACACAACAAAAGCACAACACACAAGATAGTGAAGGAGTGCTCCAACAAAGGAGAATGGGCGTGACTGACGTAGTGAGGGGCGACGTAGCGATGTGGTATCCTGAACAATTTTAATATTTTTAACGTTTGACAATGTATATGATAGATACATATTTTAGTTATTTTAATGTGTGAACATGGCATGCAATGAACTGGTTTGACGTGGATAAGTAAGCACCTGAAGATGGCATTATTATGCCGAAACATGTAGTGCGAGGGAGAGAAGGAGATAAATGAGTGTATGCACTGCAAGACGGATTAAATAAATCATGGATTCATACACATGTTTTGCAATGAAGATCTTATGTGCATATGAATACCATAGGCATGGCCAGAATTATGCACTATTGCAGGCAGTGATAAAATATAGATGGGACTATGTCTATTTATTTTATTATGCTGTGTCACTTTCAAGAGATATTTCACATGTATGATAATTTCAGAAGAATATAAAGAATTATTATATGTGTACATGTTCTCATTGCTCATAATAATTACAATTGCTGTACTTCCTTCAGCTTAATGTTTCTGCCATGACCTTCCTTTGGAACTAGTCATGGTGAGTAGTTAGTAGTTACAAGAGCTTTGGGAATCTTGGTTCATTTGAGGGATGTTTTGAAAGAACTAAACAATTGTATATGGCTTACATTCTGTTGCCGAATAAACCACTGAGCAAAAGCAAAACCTAAAAGTGCTCATATTTGGATCACACATACATGTAAAGGCATTAAAGGAAATATGGTCAATATAAGAGTGCTGAAAGAAGGTATTTATGCATTACAGTAGCCTATATATATATATATTTCTGTTATTTTTGTAATTCACTATTGTGTATGTTGGAAATCTCAGATGTGTATAATTATGTCTATGTACAATAACATACTGGTGCAACTTTTATATTGAAGTATAAGCAAGAAATAAACGTATATTTTCATCATAATAAAGTAAGACATTTCTATTATTTTGGTTTCTAAAATATGGAAATTTTAAATGAGTTTAAAAAACTGCAGATAATATGCTATAGGAGGCATTTCTTCAATATAATGGAAAGTGATTTGAATGTTCCCAGTAACTCAAAATTTAAGGACCTGGAGATAGAAAAGAGTCAAATTGGATTTCAAAAGTATTAATACAATAAGAAATTATCAAATTGGATGTTATCATAAAAGCAAACTCTAAATTCATATGAAATATTGGGATATATGTATTTTGTGGGAATGTGTTTAGGGTTTAAAATTGAATAAAGAATGTTTTCTAACCAAGTGTAATTAAAGTAAATAGACTTGTTACTGTGCATGCAATTATTTAATGTTAGCACAATGTGAAATAATAATTTATTTGTAGTTCACAGTACAAATATCTAGTTTTATTCATTTGTGGCTGTGTTGTGAAACACTAGTCAATGCACTGTATTAACTTTTCAGTTCCAACTTTACAATAATTATTAATTCACTTTTGATCAATGCCTTAGATTCATAGTAGTCATGTATTTCCACTTTCAGTTTTTGTGTGCAACAATTTTTAATCTCCAAAGTGGCTCCTTTTAACATATGATTTTTTATTGAGTTATTGATATTTTTTAAAAGTTAATAATTATGTTCTTCGCATATATTTATGGTAATATGTACACTTAAACCTGATTCCACAGAAATGTTACTGGAAGGTGATGCTTGCTCAGTTATACATATGATCAAAGTTGCTGTTCTTAACAAAATATGCAGCTTTAACATGTGCTTTTCTTTATTTTCATTAAAGATGATTTAACATGTACAAAAGGGCAACATCTATGAAAACAGTATGCTTTGTGAGTTATGATAATGTGGTCAGTGCCTGGTAAAGTTGTCCCTGTGCTTAACTAATTAAGCACTATGCCATGACAGCATATGGGGCATGGATATATGGTATCATGATCAAAATTTTAGTGTGAGAATGGGATAAGTGATTCTCTTTATATACGCAATTACAGTATTGTAGATACATTGTGTGTTTACATTTGTATATGTGAGTGTGACTCTTTCAGCTGTGATTATTTAAACGTTCTGCATTTTCAGGATTCAGCACACAGTGCATTTATTGCTACAAAACAAATATTGTACTTCACTATATCTGCCCAAATACTACAGTGTAGTATCTTATATTGAATATATTTATACTTGGCAGTAATCTGTATTTATACAGCATGCACAATAGGAGAGTAATAGGAATAGGAGAGTCAATTTTTATGTTCCACAAATCAGTGTATCATACTATAGTTAACCAAACTCTACAGGAAACAGTATGTGGAAGTTGTACTTCAGTATAATATTACTTGTTGAAATCTGTGAATTAAGTAATCGTTTCACTGATAACAAACTGTATGCATAAATAAATTGTTGAGTTTATGAAAACAGGAATTTTATTTTAATGTTATATTTAATATGAGTAACAACGCATTTATGTTGCTTCTTTCCAACTGATGTTATTACTTCTGTAATCCATATATAAAAATACACTGTTTATAGAAATATATGATAGTAATCTGTTTACATGTAAAATTTGTAAGGGGTTGAAACGATGGTCTATAACACTCAGAGTTACTGGGGTTTCAGTCTTTGTCTATCATCCAGTATTCTAAAAACTAGAAAACGTTTTGGAAACTGGATCTGTTTCCATCCTCAGGTGAGGGGGGAGACACTCTGTTGGACCCCTTAGAAAGAGCTAACCTGAATCATTGGACAACCCACGTCAGATTCACTACAGCAATTTAATTACCTAAGACCAGGCTATGTTGGAGATAGCAGGAAAATATGCAATAACAATTTTGATTAAGCATGCACATTTGTGGAATAACTCCACCGTAGTCTTGCGAGTCATAGGAGGCAACAAAAAGGGAACCCACTGCCTGGGGGTATAACCAGACCACACTGTTCCTGGGGGATATAACTATGGGGACCTGGCCCTCCAGGTTAGGGGAGTCTTGAATCTGAGACAGTGGTCATGATTCCTGCAGGACTCAGACCTGAGAATGATTGCACTAACGAGGGCCAGCAGCAATTGTAAACGACAGACCCACCCTTCATCAGAGAGGATGTTACAGAAGGGCTATGACTGCAAGTGTCCAGCTGGAAAAGAAATTACTGGTCATGAGTCTCAAGGGGCTTGTCGCCAAGACAAACTGATTGGCGGTAAACTGACACTCATACAGTAACTCCAACTCTGACATGGGTTGTTCAGTGAATGATGTTTCCTCTTTCTAAGGGATCCAGCGGGGTAGGTGTCTCTCTCCTCATCTGAGGACGGGAAGAGGTTCAATTTAAAAAATGTTATGTTTTCTACATTTTAGAATAATGGATGATGGAAAAAGTCTGAAAGTCCAGTAATACTGAGAGATAAACTCTTAAGCATTAATTGGCGAATAAGGTGAGGCTTTGTAAAGTATCTTAATTTTGAGGCTAGACCCGAATTGAAAGTGAACAAAATCAAAATAAAAATAAAAATAATGAGATCAAGAACTCTGTTAATATGCATATGCATCCTACAACTTAGTATAGTTTATGGATGCCAGAAAAGCTATTTACTGTATTATGAGTGAGACATAAAAATAAATATAACAACAGAGATGGAGTACTTATTAAATTACCACCCATCATTAACATATTGACGCTTGTTCATGAGGTTGACATGTATAGTGGATTAGCTGTAAGTTAGATATTGAAGGAATTTACACAATATTTCCTACTTCCTATGAAGGTAAGGTACTATATTTCCAGCTATGAAGTTGTGTGATGTTGAAAGTCAGTAATTGTTATATTTTTTCGTATTTTAATAGGAATGTATGGTGGAAATTTCTGATTTGATAATTTTTCTTACTATTTTACACATTTTGTGCAATTCTTGTCAAAATCTGATCTTGATATGAAAGTACATAGCATTGATTATGCATTTCCATACATATTTGACTGGTTTCTTTTTAATACAGCTGTTAGAAAAAAATGTTTAGTATCTGGCATTACTATGGTACATTGTTTCAGGTTTTAACTTGTGTCTCAGTCATTTGTCAAAATCATAGTGTGTTCACTTTTCTGTATCAACAGAGCATCTGAAGAGGGTTTGCATGCATATTGTAGGACTACATTGACATTCTAGATTGACAAAGGCAAGTAACAATTAAAACATAATAAGCACTAGTCAGAATCATCTGGAATTTACTGATCTTTTCATGTTTATGGATATAACCATTTCTCCATGACAAAAAGTATATTGTATGTTATTAGCAGAACATCCATTAAATATAAAGGGCTGTATTCTTTCTTATTATTCCAGAATAGGAAATAAAAGTAGAGATTAATATATTACATTAATACTGAATTTTGTAGATAAAATAGTATCTGTTTGCAAGAATGAAAGACTGAATTGTTATTCTGATTTTGACAGTCTATTAAAAATTGGCTAACACCCAGCTGATGGATTTATCATGTGTCTGTGTGAGAATATGGGTGCATGCTACTTCTTTTTACTTACACTTGGACCCTGAATACGGAAACAGTACGGTCCTCTGACACGTCGGTAAATTTCTACCAGACTACATGGTGTCATATCCCAGACGATAATCGGTTACACAGTTCCAATCTGTGGTTGCAGCTGTCTCAGTTCTCATGGTAGTTAAACCGTAGTGTAGATTTTTGAAAAAGATCAACCTGTAGTATTTCTTAAAATAAAATGTCAAACTTATATAAACGGGCTGATTTTTCTTTTGTTGTTGTTGCATGAATTGATTATGTCAGCTTCATACCATATAATTCATCTCTATGTATATACGATTTAATTCAATGTATCGATTACCATACTCTACTCGTATTATTAGTAGTTAGTAATTCATTTCGAACAAATTACTTTAGTAAGACGATCTCAGGCCCATAACACAATGAGCAGCCCAAATTTTTAAATTATACGTTTAAGAAGAAGAGACTGTGTAGACATACAGTGTTTGACCAGTATATTATTTCTGACCACACCCGATTTGGCACTCAATTACGAAGAAGAACCGCTGCTAGCAGAAATGGATCTGAATATGAAAGTCAAAGGGCCGGTGCAGTGCCGTAAATATAAAATATGCAACATAGGTGGTACATTTAGCAGCTTTATGCTAATAGTAGACATATAGGTCAACGAAGAGGATTATCTATAAGTTTCACTTTACAACGCAAGTGTAAACCGATAAGAAAGTGTTAATTTGACAATTGTCGGCGCTGTCGGTGGGAGCCAAGTGGCGGCATTATTCGGTTGATTAACGTTGAAGAAGATATTGGGTACGTTAATGTATGATAAACCATATTTTTGATGCAGTTTAAATTTGAAAGAATTCGAGTTTATGTTCTATTTTTAAAGTTTACAGTCGCGAGGTACATAACCTTACACGGTTACTCCATTGATTTTAGTAGACGTAAGATATTGGTATGTGGTTTCCATAAGGCTGGTGACAAGTGTATGTTGCGAGGAATGGTGCATGGGTTTCACACACTTCATGACCTTCTATATGTATAATAATAATAATTCGTGTTTATTTACGTGCAAACTTAACAGCACCGAGGCCAATTACAAAGCTAGCACGAATAGAGAAATACACAAAAATAATTTAAAAAAATACAAAAATGGTAGTGTATATTAATTATGCAGTTTTTTTTGGCACTACAGCCCCAGTGGGCCTAGGCCTGCCTCCATGAACTTCTCCATTCACTTCGGATTTTCTAGATCTTACACATTCGGTAGGACTCCTTGGGCGGGTGATCAACTCGTCGCAAGGCCTCTACCTGTGCACAAACACAGAAAAACGCACACACACAAACTAAACATCCATGCCCTGAGTGGAATTCGAACCACAATCCCTTTTTCCAAGTGAGCGAAGACAGTACATGGCTTAGACCGCTCGGCTACCGTGACCGCCAATTACACAGTTAGCATGAATAAAGATACAGAAGCAAACATACACAGACAAAGCCACAATGTGAGAATTTGAGTTTCAAATGGAGCAGCATACAATAATAATAATAACGAAATTAATAACAATAATAATAATAGTTTAATTAATTCAGAATAAGATATGTTTCATCGGCAGAGTTTTTGGTCCAAAGACGTCAACGTTCCTACAAACAACATTAGCAGCAGAAGCGCATTTAGCAGAGGGGCAATTTTTACTAACAGAACAGACATTGAACATAGGAAAGTCTCGGATATATTGAACAGGGACCCGAAGGCCAACAATTTCCAAAGCAGAAGGGCAAAGTACAGAACCACAATAAACTTTATAAGGATGAGCGCATCAAGATGATATCTCCTCTTTTGCAAGGTGTGCAATTTCAGTTGTTCCAAAGCAAAATCATAACAGTAATCTACTTGAAAAAAAATTATAATAATGTAATATTTATGACTGAGGAAATAGAACATACATTAACTATTTAAAATAGCTTGTGATGTTAATAATCTTGGTTATGAAACTATATTTGGAATTTCTAACTTCTCTTTGTATAGAATCGGACAATTTCTCTGCTTGAAGAAAGTCGTCTTCTGGGTTTTGGTGCCATGTATTCTTCGTTTTGGCCGACGTTTCAGAGGAATGTATCTTCAGAGCAGGTGAATGGCTTGTGAATGCAGAGAGCAGTAGCTAACATCAGCCAAAACGAAGAATACACGGTGCCAAAACCCAGAAGACGACTTTCTTCATAGTCATCACCGTGAAAACCTCAAAACTTACAAATTTCTCTGCTTGTTTAAATGGTAAATGTATTTTAATAGGTACACATTAAGTTAACCGGATGGTAGGTGAAATTTGCTGCATTTTATTTTATAATTTTTTTTTTGAGAATATTTTATTTTTTTACTCTGTTGTATACTTTAAATATGAATTTTGTATGGATGAGATGCATATTGTGCTGGCTACTTCCACAGTTTCTTCCACTTGACAACTGTGTTACACTGTAACAATACATGGTTACTACACTCACACACTATTGAACTGCATTTCAATGTGACAGTAGAGCTGGATACTTGACAACTATGTTACACTATAATAATACAAGGTATAAAAATACAATAAAATTATAAAATTATTATAAAATGAAAGTTATACAATACCATATTTTATTGTATAACTTTTGTATTATAATAATATTACCTTTCAAATTTTCATGGTCTAGCATTAAATTGGAGTTGGCACTCCATCTTGATGTCTTAGACATCATGACTAGAAGTCTTTATAACCTTGTATAAACTTTTATTAACTTCACTGCCATCCGTGAGCCAATTGCCTAGAAAATGTGACAGCTCGATGTCTCACACGTGCATGGACCTTCACTGCCTGTTACAGGGATAGTTTTCATTTTTTTATATAAACAGTTATTTTGATCTGAAATTACATTTGCAGTGGAACCTCTCATAACGAGTAATACGCATAACGAGCAAAACAAATTGTAAAAAAATGACTCACTTAACGAGCGACGTTTCGCATAACGAGTGACGAGAGGGGAAGTCCCAGATTGTGCACTTGCTACATCAGTCTGTGTTTAGCACTCGTTCTGCTAGCATCTTAGTGTCGCTTGTGATCACACATTTTTCCAAACTTGTCTTCAGACATATTATTTGTGATTTTTTTTTTGTGCAAAGTTTAATAACCCTTGTAAAAATGTCCCCAAAGAAAAAGCTGCAAAATGACAGCCATAAGAGAATAAAAATAACCGTAGAAATGAAATGTAAAATCACTGAAAAGCGAGAATGAGGTGTGAGCGTGGCAGATCTAGCACGCACATACAATCGGTCTACCTCAACGATTTGCACTATCCTCAAAAACAAGGACAAGATTAAGGAGATAGATGCTTCACAGGGAGTGACAGGAATATCTACGCAACAGTTATGTATTCTCGACAATGTTGAAAGGTTGCTCCTCAAATGGATAAATGAAAAGCAATTGCAAGGCGACACTATTAGCAAGAACATAATTTGTGAGAAGGCGAAAGTGATTTTCGCCGATCTCGTTAAGAAGACGCCAGGATCATCAACGGCTGAAGAAGAAGCATTTAAGGGAAGTCATAGGTGGTTCGAGAAGTTCAAGAGAAGAACCGGCATCCACAGCTTTGTAAGGCAAGGTGAAGCAGCAAGCTCCGACACAAAGGCAGCAGAGAACTTCATTGGCAACTTCAAGAAGCTCGTAGATTCTGAGGGTTACCTGCCGCAACAGGTTTTTCTTTGTGATGAGATGGATCTCTTCTGGAAAAAGATGCCGAAGCGAACCTATATAACAGCAGAGGATAATGCATTGCCTGGCCATAAGCCAATGAAAGACCGTCTCACGCTACTATTTTGTGCCAATGCAAGCAGCAATTTGAAAATTAAACCACTGCTTGTTTACTATTCAGAAACTCCACGAGCCTTCAAGAAGTGTAAAGTCCAGAAGAGCAGGCTAAATGTGATGTGGAGGTCCAACAACAAGGCTTGGGTGACACGTGACCTTTTTAGTGATTGGATCAATGAAGTATTTGGTCCTTCTATGAAAAAATATTTTCTTGAGATGAACCTGCCACTCTATGTCTTGCTTGTTACGGACAATGCTCCTGCCTATCCTCCAGACATACAAGATGACCTCCTTGAAGAATTTAAATTCATCAAGATCCAGTTTCTGCCTCCCAACACCACTCCGTTACTCCAACCTATGGACCAGCAGGTTATTTCTAACTTTAAGAAGCTGTACACTAAAGCACTCTTCGAGCATTGTTTTGATGTGACTGAAGGGACCAATCTCACTCTCAGAGAGTTTTGGAAATATCACTTCCACATCTTTGCCTGCCTCCAGATGATCGAAAAGGTGTGGGAAGGAATTACCAGGAGGACCCTCATTTCTGCTTGGAAGAAGGTTTGGCCGGAAAGCGTTGTTGAATGTGACTTTGAGGGGTTTGAGATAGTACTTGTGGAGCCTGTAGTCAACGAGACTGTGTCGTTGGCCAAGATCATGGGGCTGGAGATAGATAACAGTGATATCAATGAGCTTGTGGAAGAGCACAGCCAAGAGCTTATGGAGTTGTATTGTGTTTCACAGCAAGAAGCTGTGGAGGAGGAGGAGGAGGTAACAGCAAAGCAACAATCTTCTGGCGCAAGAAGAGAAATGCTGAAAGCATGGGAAAATGTTACATTGTACATTGAGAAGCATCACCCTAAGAAGGCAGTGGCTATGCGCGCTACAAATGTATTTAATGATAATGCTGTGTCGCATTTTCACCAAATTTTGAAGTGTCGGCAAAAACAAATGTCTCTAGACAGCTTTCTAGTATGTGGTATAATATGTATCATAAATAATAAACTAATTATGTCGATCTTTTTTTTTTCTTCTGCAAATCAAATTCACATTCCAGGTTGGTTCATTCCGCATAGAAGAAAAGATGAAGATGATTCACGCTCCTTAACAATGTATATATAATTTTCTTTGAATAAATGTTAGACATAAAATTTTTTGAGTATTTTTTTTGGCATGGAACGCATTATCATATTTTACATTAATTTATATGGGAAAAATTGTTTCGCTTAACGAGTGTTTTGCATTACGAGTAAGATTCTGGAATGAATTATGCTTGTTAAGCGAGGTTCCACTGTACCACAAAATATAATTAAACTGAATAAACTTTCACATAGGCGGTTTACTGGCTTGTCTGCATTATGTATCTTAAAAGAAACATCAGTATATAGAATGGCTGAAAGGTCAGTTGACTGATTAGTAAAATGTACAGTAAAATGTGTTAGAAATGTCTTTACTGTGTACTGAATGAGCTCCTTATGTGTTCAGCCCATAACACACAATTCGGTGGTACCGGTCTGCAGACTGACTGGCATAACTCTGTATAGACTTTACGATTTTCAAAGAGAATATTTTGGGGTAACTGACTTTTGGGTCACTCTGGAGTTCCATGTATATTAAGCTAAGGCCCAATCTAGTATGAACACATGTAGGCGTTATGTTTTAACCCATAATTTTTATTTATAACCTAACAAACTGTGTATATTTGTTGATTCCATGTCTTATATTTACTGTGTCAAAAGTTAAGGCCAAGTGGCGATAGCTCGGTTGGTATACTGATTAGACTATGGGCTGAATGATCCAGGAATCAGTGTTCATTTCCCAGAAGGGACAAGACATTATTTTTCCTCCACAATGTCCCGAGTGGCTCTGGGGCTCACACAAGGCAAGAGATTTTCTGTTTTGCACAGTGCCCATATTGGTTCTGGGGACCACATAGCCTCCTATCCAATGGGTGGGCGTGGAGGCGCT